GACTGCCCTGATCTAATCGGGATTGGCTTTGATGTTGCGCTGTATCACCATATATCCTAGAAACTTCCATGAGAATACGCCGAAAGAGCACTTAGCCGAATTTAGCTTCATATTGTATTTTTGCAACACCTCAAAGGCTTACCGAAGGTGGTCAGGGTGTTGCTCGGTGATTACTGACTTTACCAGCATATCGTCGATGTAGACCTCCATAAAGTCTCCTAGCAAGTTGAAGAACATTTTGTTCACGAGTCGCTGGTAAGTGGGTCTAGCGTTCTTCAGATCGAATGACATCACTTTGTAGCAATAGATGCCTTATCCGGTGATGAAGACGGTCTTTTCTTAGTCATCCAGGTGCATCAGTATCTGGTTGTATCCAAAGAAGGCATCCACAAAGCTAAGCAATTCATGTCCAACGATGGCATCCACTAACATGTCTATGTGAGGGAGTAGGAAAGAGCCTTTTGGACAAACCTTGTTCAGGTCGGTGAAGTCAATACAAACTCTCTATTTCTTGTTCTTCTTCTTCACTACCACCATGTTCGCCAACCAATCTGTTGCTAAGTAGTTTCTCCACCTACTAGTTAATCACCTTGTTTCTCTCTAGGGTGAATCTTCTCATTTTTTGTCTCACGGGAGGGAAGTACAGGTCAGCATTTAGTTTGTGCATGATAGCTTCAGGGTTGATCCCAGTCATGTCGAAGTGAGACCAAGTGAAGCAATCTTGGTTCTCCTTTAGGAAGTCAATCAGCTTTCTTTGGATATCAGGTGAGAGCCGAGCCCTAATTTGTGTCTTTTGATCTGAAAACTTTTGGTGAATTTGGACCTCATCTAACTCCTCCATTATTGGCTGGTCTAGCTGTACTCTTCCAATTGGAGGTATCTGTAGTTGTTACATGGCGCCATGGTTCGGCTTGAAGGCATTTTGATAACAATCTTTGGAAGCCTTTTGATCTCCTTTAATCTTTTTGATGCCCTACTTGATGGGAAACCTAATTGTCTAGTGAAAAGTTAAGGGAATAGCTCTCATGATGTGAATCCATGGCCGACACATTATAGGGGGAGGAGGCTTCTAGTATCATGAAGATGGTTTGCTGGTTAATCCCTTCGGTGTAGACCGGTAGAGCAATCTCCCAATGGTGTATTTTTTCTCCAAGCTGAATCCGACGAGGAGAGTTGGGCGGCGGTTAATGCTAGACTCATCTAGCCCCATCACCTTGAATGCTTCAAGGAACATGATATTTGTTGAGGAGTCGAGGTCTATCAGGATTATTCTGACAATGATGTTGGCAATCTAGAAGGTGATTACGAGTACATCATGATGTGGATTCAGGAGTGTTGTTGTTTCGTTATCTATGAATTCTATGGTTAGGTTGGTGGCTCTTTGTTGTGTTGGTCTTGAGTGTTGGAACTATGGGTTAGCTGCGGCTCGAGCATGGTGCTTCGCTGAGAAGTAGCTTACTCCACTAACTTCTTATCCGCCCGAGATAACCCCACACATTCCATCTACTAGAAGGGCTTTTAGTAGCGGAGTAACTTGGCGATCTCTATTCATCAATGTGATTTTCCTCTTGTCTATCAAGAATTCGTAGAGATGTCCCCTTTTCAGTAGCTCGGCTACTTCGAGTCAAAGTGCAATCCAATCAACGGTGTTGTGGTTGTGATCTCCATGGAATTTGCATCATTTGGTAGTGTTCCGCTTTGCTCCAGGATTTTTTAATTTGGCTAGCCATCTGACCACGTTCCCCATCTCCTTCATCAAAACTACCACTTCCAGTGGCTCGATATTGAGGTTGTAGTCGGGCAGCTTGCACTTGGGTGGTGTGCTAGGGTCATCATTTCAAGCCAGATGATGATCTAGTTGGCACATGTTGTCTCATACAAAAACCCTTCTTACCGAATAGTGCTCTAGCCTGGTGTCACGATGATTATCAAGGCGTCGGGAGCGACGATCATCGCAGGTGCTTTGCTTGGCTCTATGAGCTTTATCTTCCTCCCACCTTATCTCAACTCAAGCACGGGCCAATACATCATCCATGGTACTGCAATTAAATTCGGTGAGTTCTTTGTACAATTCCACATCTAGAGTTAGGCCTTTCTTAAAAGCGTTGATCGCAGTCTCTTGGTTGTAGTACAGGATTGAGATTTTTTCGCAATTGAAACGCCCCACATAGTCTCGTAGGGGCTCGTTGCGGTGCTGTCGGATCCAATAGAGGTCACCAAATGACTTCTCTAATTTTTTGCTGCTAGCAAATTGCTTCACAAAGGTATCTGTGAGCTGGGCGAATGAGGCGATGTAGTGATTGGGGAGGTTGGTGTACCATTAGAGTGCAGACCCTATTATTAGGCTGGAGCAGAAACTTTTGCACATGCATGCCTCTTGAAGATCCCTTGGTATGGCAGCGGTAAACATTCTCTGCTTGTAGGAGGCTATATGATCATTTCGGTCAATGGTGCCATCATACAACTTCATGTTGGGGAAGGTGAATTTGCGGGGCAAATCTGCGAGGGCGATGGTATCCACAAATAGCGACTCGGCATAGCTTTGGGGTTGACTCTTTTTTAGGGGTGTTGGCACCCCTAGGATGCGCTGGATCATGGCTTCCACTTCAGCTAGTCGTTTGGTCAGTGTTTGCTCAAGGGTGGTTGGTGTAGGAGTATTGAGGTTATGGAGGAATTGGGAGAACAGTCTTGGGTTGATGTGAATGGTCGTGCCAAATGGTATGGCTTAGAGAGTTGTTCTGATTAGTGATTGCATAAGGTGTGTTTGTTGGTGTGCAAAGGGGGTGTTCAGTTGCTGGGGTGGCACGGTTTGGGCATGTGTTTCGACAATTGGGTTGGTAGAGATATGGGCATTATCTTATTGGGTCAGCCCGGCCATGTCTGTCGTGGTGTTAGGGTCTCTGTTGCTACAAGTACTAGGAAAGGCATCGCTGTTTGGGCTCAGAAACAATTGTCTAGGTTGAATGGGGGGTCAAGAGGTGGATGCATGATGCTAGTTGAATGACCAATCCAAAGAGTAGAATTGATTCACCTTATTCTGGAGAGCTTGATTTTCGATGCAGATGGCGGCGTTTTGGACTTCCAAGGCTTGGCACTTGTTGTTGTTTTCCTGCACCAACGCAGTGAGCGCTTCGATCTGGGCCGCTACATCTGGCGCTGCGTTTTCCGTGCGGCTGGCCATGAGAACTGAACGGAAGGGAAAGGATCGAACAGTAGGTCGCACTGCATCGTTTGATTGGCAGGGCCCCACGGTGGGCAGCAAATTGTAAACGCTAAAATTTACAATTGAATTGAAGGCAGGATCTTGTGGGGCGAGCCACTGACAACCTTGATAGACCTGCGGGTGGTCTTCTTGCGGCTAAGAAGGAGCTTTAGCGATGCGGGGTTGTGGAAGTAGATAATGGGTTTGACAATATGAGAGCTAGAGCTTAGGGTTGATTTTTGTGGATACCTAACAAGACGGTCAACCTCTGTTTATATAGTGAACCCAAGGAGTTCGAATCCTAGTAGAACTCTAAGTCCTACTTGGTAAGGGAGTTCGCTTTTCGGAAAGAGATTGGATTCTTTGCCTTTATCAGTTTAGGCTTTCCTCTTTGAGTGAGATACGTGATCTTGTCAAAAGAGGAATTTGGTTAAGATTCTGATGCTCGTTATGGATTATTATGGGCGAATAGGCCGGACCCAGTTCAGATTAACTAGGGAGATGGCCCAACTCATAGAGCAGGCAGTTCCCCCAAGGTATTCTAAGCGTGGGCTCAACCGGGAATAGGTCAAGACTCTAGGTCGTCACATATCAACAATGCTATTGGACCTCGTCAGGTCCAATACGAATTTTGACCCATACAATGCGTATACGTTATTGATCAAACTAAATTTCATCTTGATTTTTTAAAAATAAAATTAGGGTTTATAATGTAGAAAAAGAAGTAGAAATTTTAAATTAATAACAAAAGATTTATTCTAGATGGATTGTGTATAAAATACTCTTTTGAGTCTGCCATGTTTCAAATTTGAAGCAAGGGTATAATATAATTATTACTAAAATTTTCTTCAAAGAAGATGTAATTATCAGACAAAAACTTGTTTGTAAATAATAATAATAAGATTAAGATTATCTACAAGTTACACTAACACAATACTTAATTAATACGCCAAAGTAAAAGGTAAATATGATATTGGTTTGTTGCAATGGATGGAAAATAAATAATTGATAGGTTATAATATATGTAGTGGAAATATAAATAAAATGGCTGATTTGTAAATAGGTGGGTTTTATTTAGACATTTATATAGATTTAAAAATCTTAACCGGTAAATTTAGAATTGGGGTCTAGTAAAAGGCACTACTCTTTTGAAAATTGTTAAAACTGATGACTTGATAATTTTATGGAGTAAATGAAATTATCCAAAATTTGAAATAGAAAATTTAATTAAAAAATATTTGAAATTAGTTTTGAATACAATTGTAACAACTAATATAAGAATTGAAAAAAGATTAACTAGTTCAAAAGGTCTTATAATTTTTAATTATGGAAAAAATTCTTGAATATTATATTGAATATAAAAAAAAAATTACTAGAGATAATGATATAATAATAATATGTCTTTAAGTTTCTAAAATTAAAAAAAAAAACAAAAAAAACTTACCTTAATGAGTTGTTAAAATTTACAATGTAATGTATTAGTAAATATTACTATATTACCCTCGTACCATTAATTTTAACACCTAAAATTTAGTAACCGGGAGATTTATGTTACTCTTAAAAAGTTTTTGGGAATTTTATCATACTTTTGTGAAATTAAAGATTATCTTTATTTTTATATTAATAATAAATCATAATAAAACTCAAAATAAAATAAAAAAATTGAAAACCTGACAACCGTTGGATAAAAAACTCAACTCCTTTCAGAAAACGAACGGTGATCCGCACATATATCTTTCTCACACTTCACAAAAAAATGTTCTAACAGAGAAATACCAAAAAAAATTTGTATTAAAAAATGAAAAATTATTGGAGACAAGAAAGGAACCTCTTTTTCTAAAAAGAGAGAAAGGGTTGTTTGGTTTGCGAGAAAAAAAAATCCCATTTTCTCTCTTCTTCTACTTGTACAAAAATTGATAGAAAGGAAGAAACTTGATAGAAGAAGAGAGAAGAACTCCACCAAAAAAAGAAACCCATTAAAGCTTTTTAGGTTTTAAGATTAATGGAACTGGATAGTATTGAGTGTGTGGCATCAACAGATGGAATTGATGAGGACGAGATCCATCACCACAATAATCTTCATCATCATCATCACCATCAATTTCCATCATCAAAGCCTCACAATGCAATCAACAACACCAATAACAATACCAATTCCATAAATAGCATTGTGGGTCCAACTGCAATTGCCCCTGCCACTAGTGTTCATGAATTGCTTGAATGTCCCGTTTGTACAAATTCCATGTACCCACCAATCCATCAGGTATAGATTTGTTCATTTTGATGCGTTTTGAGGTTTTTGTGAACTGGGTTTTATTGGCATTGTTGATTTGATTTGCATGTGTGTTGGTTTTTGGATTCAAGGCGAAATTTTTTGAAATGGTTGTTGTGAAGATTTTATTTTGAGATTGCTTTTTTATTGGGTTTTTGTTTTTGATGTGTTTGATTTGTTGGGTTGTTGAATGTAGGATTGTCAAAATTGAGACTTGAATTGGGTAAAAAGTTGTGGATTTGGAGTTGGTATTATCATTTTGAAGGTGTTCTTTTTAATTTTCATGGTGGAGCTTGAGATGAATTTTGCTTATAAGGTTGTATTGAGAATGTTGGTAGATGGAATTCCATTTGGGAATTTTTGGTTCTATTTTATAACAAATTTGTGTTGCTTTATTTGGTTGCAACAAAATTTTTCATAAATTTAGAGATGATTCAGATAAAGATTCCATATTCAATGTGTCAATTTATATGATGATCTATAAGCTTGGCTAGGGATGCTTTGATTCCAAAGTCCTTATTTTGTTAATGTCAATTAAAGAGTTTAAACTTGTTCACAGATTTAAATGCAAATTTAATTTTTCTGTTTAATTCAGTAATGACCAGGACCACATGTCAATTGTGCAACTAAAGTAATCAGTTATGGATATTTTCAAAATCATATTTGTCATTTCTTTTGTTCTATTTGCTAATCCAGGCAGATTATTGCTGGAATACATTCACTGAAGTCATTCTTTCTACTGTTTTTTGTATTTCTGTTGATTTTTGTTAAAGGAAACGGGACAGACAAGTAACTAATCGTGTAGGTAACTATCCATTGAAAATAAGTATTTAATGTAGTATTTATGCTGATTGTCTCCTTTTATATACCTGTGTATGATTCAATGTTGTTGAGGATTTAGATTGGTTATATGTGATAGGGTTAATGATGACTATCATTCTTTGCATATAGATTTTTATTTTTTATTTTTGGCTTGAATTGAGATGTTTTGACATTAAAGCAGAATTTCCTATTTGAGCTATTTCTTTTCTTGATGTGTAACTTAAACCCAGAGGTCAATGTTCTTCAGATTAAAAAATATTTACTGTAAAGTATTTATGATATAATGAATTTCTTTTTGAAATAAATATGTAATTTTGTATTGGAGGATTAAGATGACTTGCACCTTATTGCATTTTCATGGCCTACAAAGCCTTGGCGTCTGTAAAGTAATTTTCCCCTTTGATTTTCTCAGTCTTTTCTGCTATCTCCTTGTATCTTATAACTTGTCTCTTTCTGAATATTCATAGTAATCTTGATGGTAAAGAAAATATTTGTCTTAGCTCCTATGTCCGCAGCAGTGTTGAAAGAAGAAGAAAAGATTGTCTTATGGATTCCAAATTTTATAGAAATTTATATTAGTTCAATGAATGTTAGATGATGAGCTGCGATTACACTGTTTCTTTTTTGCAGTGCCACAATGGACACACACTATGTTCCACCTGTAAAACAAGGGTACACAACCGGTGCCCCACTTGTAGACAGGAGCTTGGAGATATTAGGTGTTTAGCATTGGAGAAGGTAGCTGAGTCACTTGAACTGCCCTGCAAATATTACTCCTTGGGATGCCCAGAGATATTTCCATATTACAGTAAACTTAAGCATGAGGCTATGTGCACCTTCAGACCATATAATTGCCCATATGCCGGATCAGATTGCTCTGTTGTTGGTGACATCCCATACCTGGTTGCCCATTTGAGGGATGATCACAAAGTGGATATGCACACAGGATGCACATTCAACCATCGCTATGTGAAATCTAATCCCCGTGAAGTAGAGAATGCAACTTGGATGCTAACAGTAAGTGTATCTGATTTAAGATTCATTAATTAGTTCTACACCAAGAATATGAATATGATAGTTCCTGGTCGAACAATAACTATATTATTTAATCTTTTTTAAATCGTAAATTACTATCTAAATCTTTAATGTAAAACTTCTTTGATCAAACTCTCTATACAATATGGGTGCCGCCTCCTGTAAATCTGTTAAGAACCAAAGGCACAATTATATTCCGAGGGATCCACATTGTGTTTGCCCAGTTAGAACTACAATAGTTTGTGCATTCCCACTCATGATTGTGTTTCCTATTTGTTGGAATAAGGTATTTTGTTCATAAATTTTCTGGCTTTATATTGGTGGAAGGAATAAAGTCCAATCTTATCATGGGATTCACTGGGCAAAATTGCTTGAATTTGTTTTCATGAGACAATTTGTGGCCTACCTGAGGATGTGGATGGATCAACTATATTATATTTCAGACAGGTTTCTTGTGACTAGGAGTGAGAACACCCAAAGTTTCTCACTGAACTCTTTGCTTTTATTATTTTTTCTTTGGTCAGGTTTTCCATTGTTTCGGTCAATACTTCTGCCTTCACTTCGAAGCCTTCCAGCTTGGAACAGCTCCCGTGTATATGGCATTCCTCCGTTTTATGGGTGATGAAAGTGAGGCTCGGAACTACAGCTACAGCCTAGAGGTTGGAGCAAATGGCAGGAAGCTCATTTGGGAGGGTACGCCTCGAAGTATCCGGGATTGCCACCGGAAGGTTAGGGACAGCCATGATGGTCTCATCATCCAACGGAACATGGCACTTTTCTTCTCTGGTGGTGACAGAAAAGAGCTGAAACTAAGAGTTACTGGGAGAATATGGAAGGAACAGCAGAATCCAGATGCTGGAGTGTGCATACCAAACCTATGTAGCTGAGAGGGTGATTTTGTATACATTTCCATTTGTTTGGTACATTTTCTGTTGTTTTGAGCTTTGCCAACATTTCCTGGGTGTGTTGTAATGGAATTGAGGGCTTGTGCATTTCAACTTCAGTAAATTGTATAAGAATCAGATTTTTCTTATTTAATGAATGATAAAATCACTTCATCTACGTTGTTGTGCATTTATAATCCTCATCTTTAAGTTATCATTTTCCCTGATAGGACAATACTTAAACCATAACCGTGAAAACATAATAGAGCCGAAGAACTAAATTGGCAAAGCTGAGCCAGGTAAACAGATTACAGATCTTCCAGAACAAACCAGATTGACAATGCTCAAACTAATGTAATAGGACTAATGGAACATAAGCATCAATTGCTGCATCCTCTTTGTTTAACAAGGCAAAAGCCAACTTTCAATGCTTACTGATTTCAAATGTCAGTTCAACTTATTAAATATCATGGTCTTGAATTTCCATCTGGCTACAACAGAAAAAGCATATTAGCAGAAATAGCTGTTATCATGGTTTAAGTACCTGCTTTCATTCAGGAAGTTCAATAAATAAAAGTGCTGCAATGCAGAATAATAGATTTGTGCCAACCTCAAGAACAATTAAATGAACCCTCCAAGTTTAATGCATTCCTAATAACACGGTATACATTAACTAGAGAAGAAGAATCATTGGGTTCATGCTCCTTATCTATTTTTTCAATCAAAAGATGGAACACAAATATTACCATTTCCCATCAATACATTCATGCTGTTACCTGCCCACTTTCACCATCATTTTTACCATCTACTTCTGCCGAATTCTCACAATTGATCTTCCGAGTTTGCCAAATCAGCCTCTATAGCAGTAGCTTCTTCAACATTCTCTTCTTTCCCAGCTTCTGTTTCACCGATGGAGTCAGCAGAAGAAGCCTCAACTGCATTAGCATTTTCGGGGTTCTCCGCTCCACCTTCTTTCTTACCAAACAGTTTTGATGGAATTAAAGAAGATATGGCAGCACTTGCACTCTTCTTAGCTGCTTCCGCAGCTTCTGCTTCTTTAGCCTTGGCTTCAGCCTTCAGCCTTTCCTTCTCCTCCATAAGCTTCACCAAATCCTCTTCTCTACCTTCCTTCCCCAATTCCCCTTTCACAAATTCCTGGAAATCCTCATCAAACTCAATCCCATTATCATCCAACATTTCATCTACAACCTTAAGCATGTCATCCAATTTGCCATCATCACTCAATGCCTTCATAATAAACTTGTAACTTGCATCATCCATCTTCAGCTTCTTCACCATTATATCAAAAAACGACTTTGCCTCATCAATATTCCCCACTTTAACCAACTGATCAACCAATCTGTTATAAACAGCCAAGTTAGGCCTCAAACCTGTCTCAATCATCTTCCTAAAGTATGCTGCCCCATCATCAACCCTATCCTCTTTAAAACAAGTATCCATCAGAACACCATAAGTATACTCATCAGGATTCACCCCCTTCTGCCCCATTTCTCCATAGAGCTTTTCCGCCTCACCCAACATTCCATTCTTACACAACTGATCAATCAAATTATTAAACGACAACGTATCAGGACTGCACCTATATTCACCCATCTTCCTAAATACCTCAATAGCCTCCTCAAACCTCCCTTCCGCGCAATACCCATCAGCCATCACATTAAAACTCCCCAAATTCACTGCCAACCTCTTAGGTGGATTATGCTCACCAATCATCCTATCAAACAACTTCAAAGCCTCATCAAACTTCCCATTCTTACACAAAGCATCAAGCACATTATTATACGCAACCGCGCTCATTTTTACACTCGAATTCTCCCCCACAGCCTCGTTATAACATGACATTGCCTCCTCCTCCATACCCTTCATAAAATAACCCTTAATCAAGCTCCCATACACAACCCCATCACTCACAACACCTCCCAATTTCTCCTTCAACTCCTCATAAAGCCTGAAAACCCCGTCCGAATCATCATTCCTAACACAACCCATCATCAAATAACTATAAACAACAGGGTCTGCCACAAGACCCTTAGCTAACATCTCCTCCTTCAATTCCATGGCCTTCTCAAGTTTCCCATTATCCACCAAACCCTTAATTAAAATCCGATAAGTCGTTGGTGACGGATTAAAAGGGGCATCATTTATAAACTGCTTGTAATGTTCGAGTGCAGTGTCAGGTTTTTTACAATCTAAATAAGTTTGAAACAAAAGATTATAAGTAATAACATTTGGGGCCACACCCGCTTGAGTTATGAACCTATGAAGAGATAAAAGGTCAGAGTACTTTGACTGACGGAGCTGCGCCGTCATAACTGCGTTAACGGTGAAAATCGTCGGACGGCAATTGGAGTACACGGAATGTCGCGTGAAGAGTGCGGCTTCTTCGAGGTCGTTTTGGCGAATGAGAGTTAAGATCCGGTTGTGTAGGTTGAGACGGTTGCCGGAGACAGCGGCGAGGGTTTCGGGGAGTTTCGGGGCGTTGGGGTTTTGGATGGGTTTTGGGGGTAGTTGTTGTTGTGGTTGCTGGGAGCGGTGGAGAGAGGAAAGAGGGGGTTCGATGCGGAGACGGCGTTTGCGACGGCGACGCTCGGCGGCGGCTTCTTCGGGAGTAGCGAAGGAGAGGAAACGGAAGGTGATGAACGGCGGCGGGTGGCGGTGGTAGCGAGGAGTGGTTAGGGTTTTGAGATGGGTGAGGAAGGTGAGTTTGGAGAGAGCCATTGATTTTGATCTTTAGGGTTTTGATTTGAGCAATTTGTTTTGGTGAAGCGTAGATAGGGTTCTAAAAGGGTTTAGAGGGAGAGGAAGAATAAGACGTTGACGTTTTGGGATACGGGTGCGTTGGGCCTTTATGGATTGTTAAATGAGTAATGAGGCCAAGCCTCATGCGATGTTGGGCCGGGATTACTTAGATGGCTTTCGGTTTGATGCCATTTCTTAAGATTAAGAGAACATGAAAAGGGGAAACCATATAAAAATCAATTCAAATAACCTAGAGTCTCCCATTCCAATGCTTTTCAATAATCACATTCGGAGAACACCAATTGAATATTATATTTGGAATAAACAATAATATATTTGAAACTTAAATAACACCACTCAAAATTTATATGGCTTATTTAGCTTATGGGTGTTTCTTTTAGGGGGAAGTCATTTTTTTAGCCCCCATATAATTTATCAGTATCCTCCTTGTTANGCCTCACCCAACATTCCATTCTTACACAACTGATCAATCAAATTATTAAACGACAACGTATCAGGACTGCACCTATATTCACCCATCTTCCTAAATACCTCAATAGCCTCCTCAAACCTCCCTTCCGCGCAATACCCATCAGCCATCACATTAAAACTCCCCAAATTCACTGCCAACCTCTTAGGCGGATTATGCTCACCAATCATCCTATCAAACAACTTCAAAGCCTCATCAAACTTCCCATTCTTACACAAAGCATCAAGCACATTATTATACGCAACCGCGCTCATTTTTACACTCGAATTCTCCCCCACAGCCTCGTTATAACACGACATTGCCTCCTCCTCCATACCCTTCATAAAATAACCCTTTATCAAGCTCCCATACACAACCCCATCACTCACAACACCTCCCAATTTCTCCTTCAACTCCTCATAAAGCCTGAAAACCCCGTCCGAATCATCATTCCTAACACAACCCATCATCAAATAACTATAAACAACAGGGTCTGCCACAAGACCCTTAGCTAACATCTCCTCCTTCAATTCCATGGCCTTCTCAAGTTTCCCATTATCCACCAAACCCTTAATTAAAATCCGATAAGTCGTTGGTGACGGATTAAAAGGGGCATCATTTATAAACTGCTTGTAATGTTCGAGTGCAGTGTCAGGTTTTTTACAATCTAAATAAGTTTGAAACAAAAGATTATAAGTAATAACATTTGGGGCCACACCCGCTTGAGTTATGAACCTATGAAGAGATAAAAGGTCAGAGTACTTTGACTGACGGAGCTGCGCCGTCATAACTGCGTTAACGGTGAAAATCGTCGGACGGCAATTGGAGTACACGGAATGTCGCGTGAAGAGTGCGGCTTCTTCGAGGTCGTTTTGGCGAATGAGAGTTAAGATCCGGTTGTGTAGGTTGAGACGGTTGCCGGAGACAGCGGCGAGGGTTTCGGGGAGTTTCGGGGCGTTGGGGTTTTGGATGGGTTTTGGGGGTAGTTGTTGTTGTGGTTGCTGGGAGCGGTGGAGAGAGGAAAGAGGGGGTTCGATGCGGAGACGGCGTTTGCGACGGCGACGCTCGGCGGCGGCTTCTTCGGGAGTAGCGAAGGAGAGGAAACGGAAGGTGATGAACGGCGGCGGGTGGCGGTGGTAGCGAGGAGTGGTTAGGGTTTTGAGATGGGTGAGGAAGGTGAGTTTGGAGAGAGCCATTGATTTTGATCTTTAGGGTTTTGATTTGAGCAATTTGTTTTGGTGAAGCGTAGATAGGGTTCTAAAAGGGTTTAGAGGGAGAGGAAGAATAAGACGTTGACGTTTTGGGATACGGGTGCGTTGGGCCTTTATGGATTGTTAAATGAGTAATGAGGCCAAGCCTCATGCGATGTTGGGCCGGGATTACTTAGATGGCTTTCGGTTTGATGCCATTTCTTAAGATTAAGAGAACATGAAAAGGGGAAACCATATAAAAATCAATTCAAATAACCTAGAGTCTCCCATTCCAATGCTTTTCAATAATCACATTCGGAGAACACCAATTGAATATTATATTTGGAATAAACAATAATATATTTGAAACTTAAATAACACCACTCAAAATTTATATGGCTTATTTAGCTTATGGGTGTTTCTTTTAGGGGGAAGTCATTTTTTTAGCCCCCATATAATTTATCAGTATCCTCCTTGTTAAGTACATCTTTATCATATTTAAAATAAACCTCTTTAAACCCTATTTAATACCAAAAATAACCCTCTTTTTTTAATTAGGTTTTCTGTTTACTCCACTTTCCCAATTTCAAATTTTTTTTTTTTTTTTTTCCAACTTCATACGTAATTAGGGTTTTTTTTTACCCACCCCTTTTTCCCCAACTTAAAACTTAATTAAGTTTTTTTGTTTACATCCTTTTTTCCCAATTTCATAATTTGAAATTTATTTTTCTTCTTTACTTTTATTCTTTGACTAAGATCCATTCTGTTGTGTGATTACCTTCTTCATAACTTTAAAAATATATTTTCATCAAACAAACAAATAATTGAAATAAAACAAAAGATTTCAATGATTACGAAAATATAGGGTTAGGGTTTATACAAAAAAATAAATGTTGAAAATTAAAACAAAATGTAAAATAGAATAGAGGAGTATTTATAATTTATAATATTATTTTTAGTAATTTCTATTAAGGTTAAACTTGTCAAAACAAAAAAATTAAAATTAAGATGGCGTATACTAATCAATTAGACGGAGGATTAAAATCACTTTTCTTCTTTTGGTGGCAATAGGGTATGTATAGTTTGTTGGCCCAATGTGTAATGTTTGGTTTAAGCCCATTCAGAGAGAAAATTTAAAAGTTTAGTTTGTATGCCAATCAAGCAATCTGCTAGAATGCTTTTCTAAAATTAATGCAATTAGGATTAAGAGCCCATAAATTCCTAGTTATTTAAATCAATAGTAATAGTCAAAAGCCCAAAAAAGCAAACCCAAAAGATTAGTAATATATATACTATTCTGCTCAATTTTGTGAAACTGATAAAAATGAAATGAATCATGAATTTAGATGAATTTTGAGGCTTTAGTTCTTTTCCCCATATGAGATCCTTAGTAATAAACTCTTTCGCTTTTTTAAAGAAGTATCAAATTATATATGTCATGAGGTATTTGATAATTATACAAAAGGGTATTTGATATTTTTAAAAAGGTTTTTGATACTTTTTATTTTATTTTTATGTAACTGATGTATCCAGACTCATATTGGAGTCTGTCTTATTTTCAAGGTCATTAAAGTTTAAACACCTTACGAACCTAATGGATCAATGTAATTGTACAAATATGATAGGTACCTCTCCTACAACTCAAACACAAGATTTTATAAGTATAGCTAACGCTAATTGTTAAAGAGTTTGTCATCCGACTACAACAAAAAAAATAGGATTTTTTACACTTGTTGAATTAAGGAGATTAATTTAATTCTGGACGTATGAGCGAAATGAAATAAATCCGAATTTTGAGATAATATTCTTACCCTAACCCGGAGAGATAAAATAGTGTTTTTTTAATTAATTAAGAAACAACGTAGCCAACTAACTAGCTAACTGTTAATCACTAAAACAAGCCATGATCTGTAGATATGCTCAAAATTAAATATGAAAGTGAAGTGATAGCTTATATTATAATAAAAACAAAAGGAGAAATTTGAGTTGAACGGCATAAGTCATAACATATGTGTAATCTCTTTCTAATTATAATAATTTATTGTTGCCAAATTCGTTGAACTCCCCATCAATAGAATTTTGTCTTCGTTGATGTAACATACTTAATTAACAAAAAATATTCAATTAGAAAGGCAGATGAAAACGAATTCTTAGTTAAAATTATATATTAGACCATAGCGTTAGTTGAAAGGGTGAAGAAAGTGACACCCTTTTTTTTTTTTTTTTTTTTTTTTAAATTTTTAATAAGTTTTTGTCTTTTAATATAAACTTGATTAACTCAACTTTTATAAAATGGAATATCTTAATAAAATTATTAAATTGATTTGGATTAATACCATATTGGTAATTTAATTTAAAAGAATAAAACCCAACGGTTTTTGTCATTTATCAAATCATTATATATATATATTATTTGTTTATTTAGGTGACAAACTATGTGGCTAATGCCAGGGGCGGATCCAGCCCACTCATGGCCCATCCTCAATATTTTTTTTTTAAATACTAATATATATGATTTTTGGATTTTAACCCACCCTAATAAAAAAATTTAATGGATAAAAATATTAATATATAATTAGTTTTTATTTTGGTCCACCCTAAAAAAAATTTCTGAATCCACCTCTTCCTAATATCTAATAGTAATAGGGAGGAAAGCTTGTGATTGGATTAATTAATTGATTTTATAATTCTTAATTAAGTAGGACACGTGCAAGTCGGAAATCAACTAGAGTCTAGACCATACACGGTTTAAATTATCATTTTAAATAGGCAGAATGACTTACACATACCCAAGGTTTGCTTAAACGACAAGTTGGTACCCAAAAGGTTTTGAAATGACAAATAGTACCTTCCGTCAGGTTCTATTAGTGATTTTTGTTTGATAATAGTGAAAAGACTAAAATGCCCTTAAAAGTTTAATATTTTAGGTTTTTATAAATTTAAAAATTTCTAAAAAACCCCTTAGGTTTGCTAATTTGACTAAATACCCCAATATATAAAAATTTTATAAATTAACAAAAACACCCCCGCCACCTGCAGTGCCAGATTCCGGCCACCACCGCCGGAATCTGTCCGAAAAATTGTGTTACGACACAGACCCATCGGATCTATGTCGTAACGCATTGATCTGGCCGGAAAAAGCCAGATCTACGTCTGGACTTTTTCGGCCTCGACGGCCAGATCTGGCCGAAAAATACCAGATCGACGTGTTACGACACAGATCCGATGGGTCTGTGTCGTAACGCGATTTTCCGGCAAGTTTCCGACCTCGACGGCCAGATCTGGCGGTAGATCTGGCCTTTTCCGGCCTAATCAGCCACGGATCTTGTCAGAAAATGCCAGATCTACGCGTTACGACACAGATCCGACGGGTCTGTGTTGTAACGCAATTTTTGGACCACAGCCGGAATCTGGCACTGCGGGTGGCGGGGGTGTTTTTGTTATTTTATAAAATTTATATATATTGGGGTATTTAGTCAAATTAGCAAACCTAGGGGATTTTTTAGAAATTTATAAAAACCTAAAATATTAAACTTTCAAGGGCATTTTAGTCTTTTCACTATTATAAAACGAAAATCACTAACAGAACCTGACGAAAGGTACCTATTTATCGTTTCAAAACCTTTTGGGTACCAACTTGTCGTTTTGACAAACCTTGGGTATGCGTAAGTCGTTTGGCCTTTTAAATAATATGTTTTTATAAATGGTCCTTGCACCGTTAAAGGATAAGCTGGCTCACGAATGAATTCAAAGACGAGACCAGTGGGGGGACTGGTGACCCCACTCAATCTTTTTAATTGTGGCAGCGTCTGGCAGCCGTGCAGTATCCAATCCTTATCCAATAAAAAAAAAAAAAAAAAAAAAATACGGTTGTTTTAATATTCTCAAAATCCAATTCTATTTTATTCAATTTAAAATATTAATAATTATTTTTCTTAATAAAAGTTTTAAAATTAATAGAAACACCAACACTATTCTCAATAAAAGTTTTTAAATTAACAAAAATATCTTCACTCACTCATTAAATACCGATAGTCGACCACCACCACCGGACGTTAGCTAGAAGTCACCAAAATGTGCACAACCATCTGGATCTAGTCAGTTGTGTGCCAATCTAGTCTTTTCTAGGCAAATCTATCATAGATCTAGCAAGAAACGGTCATATATTTGGCTGTTGATCTGGCCATTTCCATGGTGAATCTGGTCGGAAAAGGCCAGATTGCTACATGATCGGCCAAATCCAGTCCGTGGTGTACCATTCCAACGACTTCTAACCACCGTTTGACTATGGTGACCGACTGCCAATATTTAATAGGTGTGTGGGTGTTTTTGTTAATTTATAAACTTTTATTGTTTGAGTGTTTAGCTAAATTAACAAATGTAAGAGGTTCAAAAATAATCTAAATATTTTCAGAAAAAGTTTTCCAAAAATTTACCAAACACATTTTTAAATTCAAATCATATTCTCGTAAAAACAACTCAACTCAACATTTTCAAAAATACTATTCTAAATACTCAAACAAACACAACCTATTTTCTTTGTAATTTTTTTTTTCCTAATTTCGTATAATTTGTTTTCCAAATTGATCCTACTCATTTAAAAGTATAATTAACAAAGTATCTTATGCAGTTTTTGTGATTAAAGTTTTCTAGCATGACTTGACATTCCTTAATTTCATTAGTATTAACATAATTCCGGGGGAAAGTTTCAATTGTTAAAGTCAATTTTACAAACTAAAACGAAAACCTTTACTTGACAATATTAACTTTTACTTTGTGTTTGCAAAAAAAACAAAGTCAAATATTATTAAAAAAACAAAATATCTCCTTATGCTAAAATTCAGATCTTTAGGAAATATATTAGAGTAATGCTACAGCCACCGAAGGTTGTGCACCGAATATGTACACCGAATGACGTGACAAAATATTAACTATTGATTTATTATCAGTTAATATCAATAAACGGTCAGGATTTTGTCACGTCATTTGGTGCACAGATTCGATACGTAACCTTCGGTGGCTCTATCATTTTCCAATATATTAATACCATATTTAATTCA